AATTTCATAAGGACCCAGAATATATATACTTTGTTGGGTCTCAGATGAATAATTCTTGGTGTTACACACGGAATGACAAAATTATATATACCCTCTATCACCACTGATGGTGGTGGAGGGTATAACAAGTGAGAGTGTTAAATTCGGCTGTGCCGAATCTCATATACCCACCATTAAATTTTTCATAATTTTTTTAGACCGATTTTGGTTTATATAAAACATGTTTTTTAAACATGGGGGGTAATGATTACACAAAGCAATTAATTAAAAGGTCAATTACAATTACTTGTAATGTGTAATTGAACAATAACCAATTACAATTACTTGTAATTGTAATTGAAGTTTTGCCAATTACAATTACTTGTATTTGTAATTGAAATTTTCAATTACAATTACTTGTAATTGTAATTTAGGTATTACTAATTACAAATGACATGTAATTATAAGGAAAAAAATTCACAATTACAAGTAATTGTAATTGGAATTTCTTCAATTACAATTACAAGTAATTGTAATTGGAATTTCTTCAATTACAATTACAAGTAATTGTAATTGGCAAAACTTCAATTACAGTCGGAAGTAATTGTAATTGGCAAAACTTCAATTACAATTAAAAATAATTGTAATTGGCAAAACTTCAATTACAATTACATGTAATTGTAATTGAAAATGTAGTCATTACCCCCAAGCTTGAAGTTTACATAGAATATGACTTCCGGACATTTTCCGCAAGAAATTCGGTAGAATGATTTACGTTCCTATAAAATTTTCTTAGGTTTTGGCTCGTAATAAAATTACTTATGCCAAATTTCATCTCTATACTCGTACTTTTAAACCAGTAATGAGCGTTAAAGTAATTATCTGAAGAGGACCTTATATGGGGGGGTAAGGTCAATTTTGGACCGATCCACACAAAATTTGGTAAAGAGGATTTTGCTCGTAAGAGACTTATGTCAAATTACTCGTATTTTTAAGCCAGTAATAAGGGTTAAATTTTCTGAAGGGGACTTTATAAGGAGGTAGGGTCAATTATTGACTGATCCATATAAAACATGGTCGAGAGATTTTGACTTGCATGAAACTTATGTGTGTCGAATTTTATCGCTGTATTCTTATTTTTAAGCCAGTAATGAGCGTTATAGTAATTTTTTGAAGGGGACCTTATACGGGGTAGGGTCAATTATTGACCGATCCTCATAAAATTTGGTATAATAATGTCGAATTTCATCACTATACTCGTACTTTTGAGACAGATATGTCCCTTTAAGCTCTTTTCGGGGGTCCACTTGTATGAGCGCTATCCAAAATCCTCGACCGATTTTGCCGTTTTGAATGTCAAACAATTCTTATCTATAGACAGACTTGGCTAGATCGTCTTAGAATTTAATAAGGACCCATAATATATATACTTTTGTGGGTCTATGACTAATATTTCGATGTGTTACAAACGGAATGACAAAATCAATATACCCCCCAAAATCAATATACCTCTTTTGCTGACGGGTATAACAACATATACCATAAGAAGCTGTGGGTTGTTGTAGTTTTCTTGCAACATTTTATGAGGGTGCTCGGATATTTTGCTGATGTCTTATAAAATTAATATCTAGAGTCTTCAGAAAATTGATTTCAAGAGACATGCAGGCAGACAGACGGACGTGGCTTAATCGGCACCGCTATCTATAAGGATCTAGAGTATACATATAGGGTCGGTAAATTACACAGCAGAGGAATGACTATGGAGCTAAGCGTTAGAAATGTGTTGGTGTCAAGTGTATATGACACGGATGAAAGGGTATACGACCTTAATCCACCATGATAACTAGAGTGAATATGTCGGATATATAAGAAGTGTATTACTTTGAAGGGTGATGGATGAAAGGTTTCTTATAGAAATTATACAAATCTTTGAATTTTCCTTCCTTGTCTGGGTATGTTTAGGTTTTACTCTGTTCATACCAGATTTACCACAGTCTGGGTGAGAACAAGTCCTAGGCATATTTGATGGATTCCTATTTCGGTCATGTTTTGAATCACGTCTCTATGTGCTGTTTGCCGAATCAACAGAGGCCATCCTCTCCTCGAGGTTGTAAAAATGCCATCTCGGAAGTTACCCAACGGGGCAGCAATGATCAGAGATTAGATAGCTCGAGTTCTCGAGCAAAGTGCTTGTACAGGGACAAACAGAACTAGGTACGCAAATTGCCACCTGCATACAAGACTCACAAAGGGGCGGTGGTATTTCTTCTAAAGTAATGCTATAGCTATGGAGAAATACTATTCCTACGGAAAAGCTTTAACATATTTAATATTTCAACATCCTGTAGAATAAGTTCACGCATCTATTGCTAAGACAAATGTTTGCACACAAACATTATACATAAATTATGATACATTTATAAACAACTGTTTGCAGTGATGGGCAATACATATTTATGCTTGTGAAAAGAAATGTTTTCTGAAAGGCAGCAAATACAAAGAAGTAACTGATATGATTTCATGAAATGCAAACCGATAAACAGGTGAAGGTAAGTCTATGCTACTGAATATCGCATATACGCATTACTTTATCTACATATACATATATACTTACATATATATATATACATGGATAACAATGTTTATAGTTTACATCCATATGGATGTAACAGTGCAGTCAACATTTACAAACTTAAAGGATTGATTGCATACAATATCTTCCTGTTGTTGTTATTGTTTGTCTTGTATTTATCTTCTACTGTTTACATAGTTGCAGGAATATCTACAACATTATGTATTTGTAAAAATATTCCTTAAAAGTTTATCTTTGTTGCAGACTTTAATACTTTATGCCAGTATATAGTACTCATGTAAGGCAGGCAGACATACACATATTGTCAACAATGAAATTTATAGGAACAGCAGCAGCAATAAAAAGACAATTGTCATACATATTGTTGTTCTTTTGTCTCATCTTCTTATTCTGGTTGAATAACGTAAAAAAAGTTGCTTCTGTACTGTCTTTAAGTAAATAAATAAAGTTTTGTCAAGTAATATTTTCTTTTATTTTATTTTTGTAAATATCAAAATAAATAATGAAATTTTCATATTGTAAATGTATTATTTAATAACTGTTTATTTGCTTAAACAATTTGTAACAATAATAAGATTTTATTCGAGTAAATTATATGAGTAAATAAATAAACAAAGTCAAACACTTGAATATTTGCTAGAGTTAAATATTTAATGTTTCTATAAATACTTTACTTTAGAATAATCATTGTTTAAATAGTTTGTAACATTATAAATAAATTAGAGACCGAAATGGTCGAGATATTAGATTATTAAATAGAAGATATGAGTTTGAATAAATTATTAAAAATTTATTGAAGACCCTCTATACGTATTGTTTATTTTGTTTAAAATAATTGTTAATTATACGCCCCCTAGCACAAAGTACAGCATTACTTTTACATTTTTGCATATACGTAGCATATTTTTGGGCTTTTATTTTTTGAATTATTTCAAGCTGTTTGCAAAAATAAATAAATTTTTCTACTTTTTATTCTTTATTGTGAAAAACGTAAAGATTTCTTAATGTTCTGCTTTAAGCTTTTTAGAATAAATAATGAAAAAAATATACAATATTAAAATGTTGTACAGTGTGGAGGGAAGATCTGTTGGAAAATCTTGGATAAAGGTTTTTCAATTGTTATACTTTATTTTACGTGTTGTTATTTAAATGTAACACCATTATTTACACAATTCTGCTTATTTTTTAGAACATGTTAGAGGATGTTGCATTTGTAATGAAAGAAACGTAGAAAAGTTGTTGTTGAAAATTTTAGTTATTTTAAAATAAATCCCAAAGAAATATTTTTATACAGATTTACTTTAGCTTTAGTCGTTATTAAGAATGAACCCCTTCTGAAACTCTACAATTCAAAACTTTTAATATATACAAAACTTTAGCTTGATACTTAACTGTTCCCAGGTAAACAAATATGTAACTAATGAAATTACAATTTAAGGTAACTGTTAATAAACAAGTCAATTAGAGTTTTAGAGCCAGAAAAGTATACTCTACTGGCTCTTAGTAATCAAAGAAGAGAGAGTTGAGAGATTCATTAAGATTTTAGATTCAAATCATAAGAAACATCCCTAATTGTAAATATGTTTTTTTAGGTTTATCTAAATTTACGTGCTAAAATAAAAGACAATTTATATAATTTTAAATAATAATAAAACAAGTAATTTATTTAGCTCCTTAAATAAAATGTACTGCATTAAGGGTTTTTAATACCAAGAATTATGTATTTCTAAAATAAGAATTCACTTGAAATGACAGCCACATGAACTAAAAGAAGTATTGCCACCCTTAAAGGTTTTAAGAAAGATGAAAGTAATAAAGTTTATAGCAAACAAACAACAACCTTTATAAAACTTTATTATATTTTGTTGAAAGCAGCACGTAAGAAGAAAACATTTTTGCAGTCATTAAACAATAATAAATTTTCAAAGAAATTAACCCCTTTTTATAAGTTTCCCATAAGTACAATCAATAAAGGCAACTTTAAAGGAAATGGTATTAAGTTGAATGTAATTGAAATTGGTCATAACTTTTTGTTTAATTAATTCATTATTAAGCATTTGTAAATTTATAAGATAATAAATATAGAAGAGAGCAAGTTCTATCATATAAACACTCTGGTAAGTACGGAATATTTATACCAGGACAAAGAACTGAGTACAATCGATAATCCTCGAGTAGGATACTATACCATCCAAATCATCATATACGTTTATTGAAGACCCTCTATACGTATTATTTATTTTGTTTATAATTATTAATTATACGCCCCTTAGCACGATGTACTGCATCATGTACTTGCACATATCATACTTTTAGGATTTTATTTTTTGAATTAGATTCAAGATTCCTTTTCAACTTTTCAACTTTTTCAATAAAAATAAATATGATTTATGTATAATATAAAAAAAATACAAAGAGTCACACTTACTGCACTGTGCCTCATCCGATTTGCCACAATTTTCTATCATATCACAACGAAAATGCGGTGGTATACAATAAGTTTTATTAAACACATATTGGCCGCAACTTATTTGACCCGGCTCACATTCAGGGGGTGCTGCAAAACAAAACAAATAAAATATGAAAGAGTTTTTTTTTACAAATAACAGACATTAATCAAATATTTATGTTTAAAACTTAAGACGCGATTGCTGTGCATCTTCACCACCCTCGCAATCTTTTTGATAATTACACACCCACATTGAGGATGCATTTACCATCATTGCAACGAAATTATGCCGGAGAACATAATACATTTGGTGTGGCTATAATACCGCCATGTCCTACATCGCTGCTATCACCAAAACAAATACGGCCACCATCAGCTAAACCACCTACAAATGGAACAAGGAAAAGGAAATTTAAACAATTAATAAATATATACATAGGTACTCATTAAATTTGAATTTATACTAAGTGTATTTGTATTCTTTTTAATATTTTAATATTATTTTTAATTTATGTTCATTTTTTAAACAGCAAGGCTGTAACAGGAAAGCAGTCAGTTTCTTATGTATTAAATATTTTGATAAATTAAAATGTAAATGTATATGACTTTTTAAGCAACACAAAATATCCCTTCAACAAATATGCATATATATGTTATGTTATTCTGGTAAATATGAATGTAAAGGAGCTCTCAGTTTATCAGCAGTTTCTCAAGGAATAATCACTTTACTGTTTGCTTAATATTTGTTTTACTTGTCGTATGCAAAGTATGATATGTAAAGAGCAATTAACCTAGCATTAAGTTACTAACTGTCTGCTTACAATTACCCAGCCAACTCTCCATTAGTTATCGAAGTAAAGCATTCATCTATTTTATTATTTTGAGACAGCTACCCCCAACTGCAGGGTCTAACACTGTGTGGAGTATACAAAACATTCAACAACTTTTTGTTTGCTACTCACACCGCTGCTGAATTTTTCACTGCTGCTGTTATTATTATTGTTGTTGACGATTGCAACCACTGTTGAATCATTGGGGAGCCCTCATAACAGACAATACAACACAACAGCAGCAACAACAACAATAACTTTGACAACAAAACAAACAAAAAATCACTCTACCACGAGAATAACAGCAAAAAATAAAACAAAACCAAAACAAGTTAGAGTGCTATATTCGGCTATGCCGAATCTTAAATACCCTCCACCAGCAAGCTACTTTATATTGAAACCCATCTAACTATCTATTTTTTAGATAACTCGCCAAAATTTTTGTCGAACTAATTTTGATTAGGTCCAGAAAAATTTAGAATTATTTATCTATACACAGAACATACTTATGTCGAATTTTATCCGGATATAATAATTTAATAACGAATTAAGTGGTATTAAGTGATTTTCAACAATTAACCTTATATGGACCGGTTCGGAAAAAATTCCGTACAATGATTTATATACATATATACAAAATACACATTTACGTCAAATTTTATACCTAAATGTGTATAAAATGTGCGTTTAAATAATTTTCAGAAATGGCCTTTCTATCGGAGTTGTGACCAAATACGGACCGATTCAGAAAAAATTGTATACCTATGTATAAAATGTGCGTTCAAGTAATTTTCAGAAATGGTCCTTATAAGGGAGTTGTTACCAATTATGCACCGATCAGGAAACAATTTCGTATAATGCCGAAAAAGATCAAGTATAATTTTACTCCAATAGGTGCGTTTAGGTAATTTTAGGAAGTGGACTTTATATAGGAGCTATGAGCAATTAAGGGCCTATCCCGAAAAAATTTCGTAGAGTGATTTATGTAAAGACAAAACATATAAGTGTCGAATTTTCTCAAGATAACTTTATTTGACAATGAAAGATGTGCGTTTAAGTTATTCTCAGAAGTGGACCTTATATGGGAGCTATGATTAATAATGGACCGATCCGAGAAAAAAGTGGTAAAATGATTTGTATGTACTCAAAACTTATTCAAGTCGAATTTTATTCCTATAGCTTAAGAATTCAATGAAATATATGCGTGTGATTTTCGGAAGTGGACCTTATATGGGAACTATGAGCAATTATGGGCCTATTCGGGAAAAATTTTGCAGAGTGATTTATATTTGGGCAAAACATGTTTGTGTCGAATTTTATCAAGATGGCTTTATTTGATAATGAAATATGTGCTTTTAAGTGATTTTCGTAAGTGAGCCTCATATGGGAGCTATGACCAATAATGGACCGATCCGTAAAAAATTTTGTAGAATGATTTGTATGTACACAAAACATATCATAATAGCTTTATTCATCAATGAAATATGTGCGTTTAAGTGATTTTTGGAAGTGGACCTTATATGGGAGCTATGACCAATTATGGGCCTATCCGGAAAAAATTTCATAGACTGATTTACATTTAGACTAAACATATTTCTGTCGAATTTTATCAAAATAGCTTTATTTGACAATGAAATATGAGCTTTTAAATGATTATCGGAAGAGGGCCTTATATGGGAGCTATGACCAATAATGGACCGATCCGCAAAAAATTTGGTAGAATCATTTGTATATACACAAAACATATTCACCCCGAATTTTATCATAATAGCTTTATTGATCAATGAAATACGTGCGTTTAAGTGATTTTTGGAAGTGGACCTTATATGGGAGCTATGACCAATTATGGGCCTATCCGGAAAAAAATTCATAGAGTGATTTACATTTAGACTAAACATATTTCTGTCGAATTTTATCAAAATAGCTTTATTTGACAATGAAATATGAGCTTTTAAATGATTTTCGGAAGTGGGCCTTATATGGGAGCTATGACCAATAATGGACCGATCCGCAAAAAATTTGGTAGAAAGATTTGTATGTATACAAAACAGATTTGTGTCGAATTTTATCCCGATAGCTTTATAATTCAATGAAATATATGCGTTTAAGTGATTTTCGGAAGTCGACCTTATATGGGAGCTATGACCAATTGTGGACCGACTGAGATCTACGTTGGTAGTATGATTTCTGTTTATATTATATTTGTATGTACAAAATTTGGTGTTGATAGCGATATATTTGATTGAGTTATTAACGATAAACTAATTTCCGGGAATATGTACCTTTGTATGGGGGCTATGGGAAATATTGGATCAATTGTAAAGATTTTGAACATAATTGATCACTGCCCTAAAAAAAATAAAGTGTGACAAAATTCATCGCAATATCTTTGGTAGTTTCTGAGAAAACTTCAAAAGAATTAGGAAAAAAACGTAATTTTTTCGAGGTAGTCTGAAATTTTTACTCATAACTTCTTACTTTGTGATCCGATTTTGCTGATTTTCAATACCAAACTGCTTAGGATAATAATAAATATTTTGGGTGAATTTGGTTGATTTCTTTTACTTAGTTTTAACGTGAGCGTGTTTTACACAGACAGACAGACGGACAGACGGACATAGCTAAATCGACTCAGAATTTCATAAGGACCCAGAATATATATACTTTGTTGGGTCTTAGATGTATATTTCTTGATGTTACACACGGAACGACAAACTTATATATACCCTCTATCACCACTGATGGTGGTGGAGGGTATAAAAATAAAAACAGGTGGAAAATTCAAAACAATTACAGTTACAAACATATACAACAACTTAATACAAACACAAAATGAAAGCGTATGAAAGAAACCGTATATACATATGTAGGTATTTATTAGGGAGATCGACTCGGTTTTTCTCTACCGGTTTTTATCGGTTTTTTGAACATTGGTGACTCGGTTTTTTGAAAATTGTCAATTTCCGAATATCGAATAATCCGTTTTTTTATGACAAAAAACCGGTTTTTATATATTTTACTCTTTTTTGTACATTACATACAATATGAATATGTCTATTCAAATATGTTTATAATATTAAGGTTTTTATTTTATTTTATATATAAATCCGGCATAAGCCGGATTTTTTAACCTTTTTTTTAAAATAAAACAAGTAAGAGTGCTATATTCGGCTATGAAGAATCTTATATACCCATCATCAAATCATGTGCAATAAATTTCAAGTAAATTATGAGCTTTATGGTAATTTTCTGAGGGGGGCCTTATATGAAGGGTAGGGGCAATTATGAACCGATTCGCATAAATTTTGACAAAGAGTTTTATGTTCCAATAAAATTTGTTAATGTCGAATTTCACAGCTATATACTTAGTAATATTATAGTCATTTTCTGCAGGGCGCCTTATATGGGTCGTAGGGTCAATTGTAGACCGATCCTCACAAAATTTGGCAGACAGATTTTGGTTGTTCTAAAACATGTTTATGTCAAATTTCATCGCTATATATGCAGTTCGAAAACTTACACAAAACATATTTGTATCGAATTTTATCAAGATATCTTTATTTGACAATATATCTTTATTTAAGTGATTTTTTTTAAATGGACCTTATATAGGAGCTTTTACCATATATGGACTAATCCGGAATGATTTATATGCTCACAAAACATATTCCAGTCGTACTTTATCCCGATAGCTTCATTATTCAAAGAAATATATGCGTTTAACTGATTTTCGTAAGTGTACCCTCTATGGGAGCCTATCCGGAAAAAATTTCGTAGAGTGATTCATATAAAGACAAAACATATTTGTGTCGAATTTTATGAAGATAACTTTATTTGACAATTAAATATGTGCGTTTAAGTGATTTTCGGAAGTGGGACTTATATGGGAGCTATGACCAATAATGGACCGATCGGAAAAAAAAATTGGCAGAATAATTTATATCTACACAAAATATATTAGAGTCGAATTTTATCCTTACAGTTTAAGAATTTAATGAAATATATGCGTTTAAGTGATTTTCGGAAGTGGACTTTATATGGGAGCTATGACCAATTATGAGCCTATCCGGAAAAAATTTCGTAGAATGACTCATATAAAGAAAACATATTTGTTTCGAATTTTGTCAAGATAGCTTTATTTGACAATGAAATATGAGCTTTTAAATGATTTTCGGAAGTGGACCTTATATGGGAGCTACGACCAATTATGGGCGTATCTGGAAAAAATTTAGTAGAGTAATTCATATTTAGACAAAATATATCAATGTCGAATTTTATCACGATATCTTTATTTGACAATGAAATATGTGTTTTTAAGTGATTTTCGGAAGAGGGCCTTATATGGGAGCTATGACCAATTATGGGGCTATCCGTAAAAAAATTGGTATATTGATTTGTATGTACAGAAAACTTATTTAACTCGAATTTTATCACAATAGCTTTATTCA